TGGTGTTTAAAACAGACATACTTTCATGAAAGTTTTATATTTAGACATGAATACCTCTAATGAGACTGATTGGGGACATTTATTATTTCAATTAGGCAACTTTTAGTTACTCACTGAATGATTTGTCAAATTCCTCAAAATTTTTACTTTTGTTCCTGCTGAAAAACCAACATAATATTTTAAACATGAATATGTGTCCATTGTAAATTTTTTAAAAATAATAATAAAATGAACATTACCCAAAAAGCTACATCCCATTTATAAATGCTGCTAATATTCTACTATCTTACTTTCTAATATTTTATGCATTTACATGTTTTGCTCATTGGGAACAATTTTTATATCTTGTTTTTTCTCTTAGAATTACTTTCTGAACATTTCCTATATTACTAAAAAGTCTTTGAAGAATGTTTCTAATGCTCCTAAAGAGATATCAACATTCTATCAAATGACTGTATAATAATTTACTTGAATGATGAATATTTAGATTGTTTCCCTCTTCACTATTAAAAATACTGTATTAGATTTTAAAAGTTATTTTAACATCTGATGTTCCATAAATAATATGCAAATGAATGACAGTGGCATTAGATATAACCCATGCTGAACTTAAGCATCTCTCTTTTTACCTCTACCTGATCAGATAAATATTTTATAGATTAAAAAACCCTAATTTTCTGAAAAGTTTCATTGATGTACTAAATCAACACACATTTGTGGATGGAGAAAGCAAGATAATAAGCATAATTTCTCTTTCTTGAAAATTTGGCACTTCCAGGCCAACACCAGGCCTGAGCATTGAGGGACCATGGTTGTCATGAGAAAACAAGCGATGTAGACTAAACTTATTTTTATCATGTTTGCTTGAAACTTTCCTTTTCCTCTAAGCTGGTCTTCTTTATTCTATTTTTTCTTGTTATGAAATGTCCCTCTCTAATCCAACATGATAAAGCTGAGGGTTAAAATTATCATTATCACTCATAAATCAAATTTGTAACATAAGGAGGCGAAACAGGCTTATGGGTAGAATGCAGAACTGTACAATTGTGTGTTTACTACATGTGAACCTGAACAAGTAATTAACCTTGTG